TGTGTGTGTGTGTGTGTGTGTGTGTGTGTGTGTGTGTGTGTGTGTGTAAGAAAGACACAGCCTCCCTTAATCATGTACAGAAAAATTTAAAATATGAAAAAAGTAAAAACTCTTGTAATGGTGTCTTATTAATAAGCTTGTGCTGTTTCGAGTAGTCGTGCTGATGGCTGGCCTCCTCGTATTTCATTTTACGAGGCACAAGAAGCCGCTCTGAGCACTGAGCCTTCATTTCAAAGCACAAACTGGAAGGATGTGCAGAAAAGCTCTTTGTACCGGCTATTTCCTAAGAAAATAATCTTGGAAGTGCTTTGATTTTACAACTCTAAACACTCGAGTGAAGAGTGTTGTGATTACAGTTCATGTCATAGCGATGTGGGAGGTTGGTAATTCAACTGACGATACTCTTTCTCTGTTATCTATATATAAAAAAAAACATCTTTCAATTGGATTAGTGTTCTGTTTTGTTTGCGGTCTGTATGTGTTTTGGCTCAGGTCTTCTAATAAAACGGGTGTTGGATGTGATAACTGTACATGTTCTCCCTCACAGACTGAACATTGAATCTACCACAAACCCCGATACTAACAATGGAGTCTCGTTCAACTGTCGAGCACTACGAGAATGTAGATTAAGTTTTTTGTGTCCGTTCTCAGGCTTTGCCTATATGTAAATAAATTATCTGTGTAAATAGTATTAACTCTCCTTAAGTGTATTCTAATGATCCAGGTTAAGGGTGAACTTAAACGTCGCTGTAATTTTTTTTGTAATTAACTGTTAATTTCTCTGCTGTAACAGCCTGCCTTTTGAACATAGGACGGATTCAAACCACTCTGTGTGTGTGCACGTGTGTGTGTGTGTGTATATGTGTGTTTGCATACATTCTTGTTATAATATGGAATGACTGTCCATAAATAAAGATCTGTTCAATTGTAGATCGGATGCCTTGTGTTTATTTTGATAGTGGTTTGCAGAGAGGAGAGAGTGCAGGATCTCTAGAGAACATTTCATCTGCCTCTTGTGAAGAATTTATTCTGAATTAAAGTATTTCTTCATGAATTAAATGACAAAAAATGCGAAATAAAGCTTGAAAAAATGCACAAAAATGTAGGATATTCTCCTGACCGTCTACAACAGTGAGATCATCTGGATTTGGTCTTAAATACTTGCAGGTGACAGTGATATTTTAAAGAATTCTTATTTTTACCTCGGAGCATTGTTGAGGTTAATTTAATTGGGATCTTTTATTCATTTCAGTTGGAATTTAATAATATTTAAACAGTATTTGTGAATTAACACCTGAAATGTGGGCTCATTAAAAGGCTAAACTAATTGATTATTACATAAGTTGTTTTAATGAATTATATAAACAGTCTAAGGTGTCAAATTCACAAAATAACATTTCATGTATTCCTTAATTTGGATCTTGAAGGACCTTACCTATCAATCAAGGTGAACGCTCAAAGGTTTGTAAATGTACATGTATATTTATAACATGCACGGTTTAAATCTATTGATGAGGTAAACATACCCACTGACATTATTAGTGGGTAAATAAATGGAGTATTCATTCTAAAAATGAAAAGGCAGTTACCCTTTGCATTCGTCAATCCACCAGCTTCTCTCAGAAAGGCCTGTTGAAAGTTACGCAATCAGACACAGAGAATAAGGAGCCATTGGTCTCATTTGTTTTGATACAGCTAAAGAAGGAATCTCATATCAGCTTTAGACGCACGCCATTCAGAAGGTTTTAAAGTCTATTTGTCCAAAGTTATGAAACTCTTATTCCTTTGTAGCTGTGACTGCACAGACGAAAGGTTTTGGCAAACAGATACAAGCCTCGCCCCATCCTGTCACACAGCATCACCCTCACACTCAACTGATTTGTCCTCTCATGCACATCACTGCACAAAAATCACTGTCACCTGCGTCATCTGCCACTCTCTCTGTAATCATGTATACCTGTCCGGCACTGGTGAGAAGCTCGGTCGGCAACAGAGAAAGAGGACCTCTGGCCTCAGCCTGCGAGACTTTTAGTTGTTAAAGATAAAATAAAACAAATGACAGCCTCTTTCAAAAAGCACATTCAGTGACAGAAGTCATGAAAATAGCAGTTTTTATTTTCAAATCGTCCTCGACTGCAAAAAACATCAGCTTTACTTTCATTATTGTGTTTATATGAACTATGGTTTCACCACAGTGTGTTTCGTTGAGTTTATAGTGTCACAGTGTAGTTGTATCACATGTGTAAATAGTAAACCATACGTGTTGTACTTACTTTTTAATGTACCACAAGTAGATAGAGCGACAGAGGGAAACTCACCCACTAAATTGAGTTTAGCTTGGTCACCCTCCACTCCTGTAAATAAACAACAGTTACTCTGTGTGGACGATGGGTGGCGGTATGCGCCCAGAGATATTTAAATGAGAACCTGAATAATAACTTGCTCAGTGCCTTTCCTGACGTATTGGATCCAAATGCATTAAAAGACTACCAAGTTATAATAATGGCCTCCATTTGATTAATGTTGAGAATATTATTTGGTGTCAAAACACGTCCAAAAAGCTTGATTTGTTAATTTTAGATCCATTTATAAAGTATTTAAAGTGGACATAAAGATGTTAACATGCTAATGACAATATACAAACATGGCTTTTTTAAGAGCAACACAATTTTGCTTTTGTTATTTTAGGTGATAAATGCTTGAAGGCCATGGTTGTTGGCGCATGCGCAATGTAGTGCCACATTGCCCGCGCGGGTGGTGAATGCAACTGGGAGAAATTCAACTGCGTGATCTGGAAGGAGACAGGCGGAGGCGGCGGGACCTGCACTTTGGAGGTGATTACACGGCAGATTTTATACCCAACCGGACAAAGAGTGACTGGAGAACAGGTAAGGAGCCCGTACCGAGTTCACAATCCCTAAACCGAGACCGAGGCGGGTTTGGGGGATGCGTCAACGGGTTTTTAGATGGTGTAGGTGCCGCATGTCGGCTTCTTGAGTTCAAAACAAACGTGACGAAGTAGCTAATAAAGCGTAACGTTTAAACATGGCGTTGTTATGTTCGTGTTGTTGTTGTCTCTTGTGTCGTGTCTGTTTCCCCACTTTGTGCTTTTTGAATGGCTAGAGTGGGTTTCTTGAGTTGGGGGGGGGGAGTTTATAATGCTTTGCATTTCCACGCCGCGCGTTCACAGCGCGAAAAAAGTATGACAAAGTAGGCCCTAGCGCGAGGCCCCGAAGAGCTCTCTCCGTGAGTGACCTGCTGCTCAGCCAATCAGATGCGAGTATTCCGCCCACATCAGAATCTTTCCGCCAGTCACGTTCGCCCAAAGCGCTGACGTAGGCGATGGTTTCCTCTCTCGCGCTACGCCCACTGATTATAAAAGGCTGGACAATAAAGTGGTTAAAGCAGCAGACGTCGTGAACAGTTTAATATATGGACGAACATGTTGTATTATGTTAAATGTACAGTTAATACAATTAAAAAAAATAATAAAAATGACGCGAGATGCTGTCCTCTCAATTTTTTGTAACAGTAGAATATAAACCTAAGATTAAATGAATCTTTGCAAAATATTATTGGTGTAACATTTAAATTAATCCGTTTCCTGCTTCGTGATCGTGCCATCACAAAATCTCGGTCTGTGTCGCTATCGTCTCTTGTCTGGGTTTCTTTGTGCAGGCCCATTAAAACGCACCTTTTTATATTTCACACACACTATATTTAAACTGAATAGCATATTATGTTTGCTCTCAGATAACGCGGGAGGTGTGTGTGACTTGTCGCAGACGGAGAGCCATTAGGGTCTTTTTCCACCGTCTTCTATTGTGTCTGTATGCGTGAAATCGGCTGACCAGAAAACACGTGGGCCGAGCAGTGCGAAGATATCCGGTTTGAACGCCAATAGCTCCAGACTGCCTCCGCGATGGGGAACCGAGTCGGCTGTAACGCGGAGAACAGTAAGACGATTCTAATATATATATCATATATAGTGTAAACCTGTTTAATAAAGGGCGCCGATATCGCCCCTCCGTACTGCCTGACAAAGGAGGCGATGTTATCCGGACGGAGTTGACGTTTTCTAGGCGAGACCGATACGATTAACCGCCTCCACCAAGCCATAGATATTCAGCAGCAGGACCCGCAGTCTGCATGTGTGATGAGACGTTGTTCGATGAGACAATGACCCAATTTACCACCAAATATACTGTTCATCTGACTGAGTATAGGCTTGGTGCATTACTGCCTGATGACTGGACCAATGGGGGCTTACAGGAGGAAGTGAAAGCAAGTTCTTGTAGTCGTTCTTCTTGATATAGGGCCTGAAATAATAAAGAATACTCCGATATTGTTCATTTATGATAAAGATGCTCTGAGGAACCTGTGTGAGGTCGTGATTAGACACCCCCTGCTGTCTCAAACCACTGGAACATCTGGTATTAGTTACACATTTCATCACCATTTGAGGTACATGGCTCACCGTGATTATGTCACTTTCTTTTATCCCCACTGCGTTTTTCAATTTGTTTTAAAACGTGTGTAGATGCAGTGTGTGGTTAGATTGGTAATATGTTTTTTTCTCCCGAGTCTGAACTGCATCATTGTTCATACAGTGGGTGGGCCACACCAAAGATTGCTACTATGGTGCAAAGCTGTGATTTGGTAAAATAATTCTTAGCGACGAGCCAAGAGAGAGACGAGGCCGATTGCAGGATAGTCTGTGAAGGCCTTGATAGTCGAGTGTGTTGTGTGCTTGGGTTCGGCACAATGTGTGTTTCTCAGTAGTTGTACACAAAGTCATAGGAGGTTGAGATATGATTGGTATGTTTATTGGTTAATGTGTGTGTGTGTGTGTGTGTGGTGTGTGTGTACAGGAAGGGAGCCTTGATGTGGGCAGTATGAGTAAGACACCCCCTAACAGAAGAGGGATATCTTTTGAGGTGGGAGCTCAGCTTGAGGCCAGAGACACCCTCAAAAACTGGTGAGTCATGGCCTCGCTCATTCCTCCCCCATCCCTGTGACCGTTCACTTCCCCTCACTCTCACCCTCCCCCTCATAAATTCTCATTCTCTCCATTTTTTGGGGCCCGGGTTCAGCCATTGTGTACGTCCCACCAAAACGTTGAAAAAAGAAGGAAGCCAGTAAAAAGCAGTGAAGGCAATGAAATAATCTGTGACTGTTAAATCGTATTATAAATCATGATGATGGTTTTAATATGCTAAAGATAGAAATGAAGATCGTCATTGTGACATTGTTTTAAAGCAAACCATGTGAATTTGGTGTCAAAAGCACAATAATGTGAGCAGTGTTTTGGAAAGACCTCTCAGCAGTCTTTTTGACGGACAGACACAAAACATACAGTTGATATTGGTCCTATTCAACTCCTGGCTGTACCGAAAAACATTATACTAGCGTGTCCATTCGCACACCTCACTCCTCTCATGATTCTTTATGTTTTTGACATTTTCTAGATTGACTAATCTCTCCTGACCTCTATTATATGTTTAAAAAGGATAAGGAACTTGAAAACCTCTCCCCCGTCCCATCACACATCATTGAGTTTCTTTTTGTCGCGTAGGTATGCTGCCAACATAGAGAAGGTCGACATCAAAGAGGAGAAAGTACTTATCCATTACCGCCAGTGGAGCCACCGGTACGACGAGTGGTTTGACTGGACTAGTCCGTACCTGAGGCCCGTGGAGAGGGTTCAGCTGCGGCGGCAGGGCCTGAACGACGACGCTCCCGAACCTGTAAGCATTCAGCGCTTCTCCTGCCAGCTTTGGCCTCCGTTACATAAAGAAATTATACATTCTGCCTTATTTATTGGTTATGTTGTGTTCCTCTCGCCTTTGTTTGTTGTGTATATCTGCATTGAGGGGTTCTTAAGCTTTATCTTTTCTCCAAAAGCTGAAACATGATACTGGGGTTTTATTTGCATAAGCTAAATGGATATCTGTTACTTTTACCCGCCAGTAAAAATTGTACCACTATGCCGTTTTAATAAAGTGCTGGTTTTGTTACTATTTACCAGCTCCAGTATGTCCCTGACCGAGTGTCTCCGTTCTCCTTCCAGGACTTTCAGGTGAATGACAAGGTCCTGGCTAGCTGGTCCGACTGCCGCTTCTACCCCGCTAAGGTCATTTCTGTCAACAAAGATGGTGGGTACCAATAACTTCTATCTATCTTAAAACAGTTTAAATATATGGAGACATAGTACTTCAGGTTAAGATCTTTTTTGGAGGACGATAACACTTTTCCTCTTGTTATTCAAGCTGTGTGCTTACAGTACAAGATTGTGCAATATGGCGCACATGGTAGACAGACATGTTTATAGTTTCACTTTTGTTTTTAAAAAGGAAGCTGTGGCTTTCAATAGTGTCTGATGCACAAGTACAAAACTCACACAAACAACAGAGATAACTGTTTAATGGGCTACTTGACTGGCTGGCTCTGGTGTAAAACATGTTCTCCTTTGTCCCCCTCAGCGTCCTACACTGTGAAGTTCTACGATGGTGTAATCCAGACAGTGAAGGGGATACACGTGAAGCCATTTATTAAAGAGGTACATGTAAGAAGTGAGCATAAACGTCTGTAAAAAGTGCCATTTTCTGCTCGTTTTCCTCAACTTCCTCTCTGTCCTGCCTCCAAATAGAGAGGTGGTGTTGGTGGAGCAGGGAAGTCTCGGTCCTCTGAAAGGAACATGGTTAGGAGGGCCCCGAACCGCAGGGACCGGAGGCCCCAGGAGAACGGAGGCCCCAAGAACAAGCGGCCCAGACGCAGCACGTCCGACCAGGAGGAGGACAGCAACAGCGAGGACGAGGAGCGGGACGAGGGGATGGTCAACGAGAAGAACAAGAAAACAAACGGTGAGGTCGAGGCCGCGCCCGCTATCAAACAGGAAGAGGAAATAAAAGAGGAAGCAGACCAGAACAAGGCCGGGGGTGTAGAAAAGGGAACAGGACTCACAAACGGGGTGACGGTGAAAGAAGAAGAAGAAGAAGATGAGCGTAGCGAGGACAGGTGTCACGTAAACGGAGAGGTGAAAAAGGAAGAGGTGGAAACGGAACCGAGTGGAACAAAGCCACACACGGAGTCGCCCACGCAGACATCGGCACAGATGGAGCAGGTGCCTGTCCCTATGACAACCACAGAGTCCAATGGAGACCCGGAGCAGAAGCCGAATGTCCAATCGGAAAACGCTCAGCCGGCAGCGGATGTGCCGCCTCCCCAGCCTGTGAAACGTAAGTGTTGATGAAGTCGATTAGCAGACGATTCATTGGATCTGTAGAGTTGTGAAAACGGGCATATTTGAAGGCGTAAGCGAATAAAACAAGTCTCCTTTCTTTTGCCTTTCGGTAGCGGTAAGAAAACAGGGTTTCCACAACCCCAACAGATTCAGCAGGGAGCCATGTGAGTACAACGCAGAACCTATCGCACACATACAGCCATCACTGCCATTCTTTGATGTACTTTATTCACTTCATGTCGCTCCTTGTTTCAGTGTACCGAGTCATCAAAAACCAACCTCCCCCCGTCTTGTCCATCAACCTCGACCACAACCCGTTTAAGTGCAGCGCTCCCGGCTGCACGAAGTCATTCCGAAAGGCCAAGCTGCTGCACTACCACATGAAATATTACCACGGCGAGGAGCAGCCTCTGGAGGGGGTCCAGACCCGGGCCTCCGAGAAGCAGGCCGCCCCCCCCACCGGGTTGGACGGCCCGAAAAGAAGGAGAACCATCTCTGCCTCTATGCGTGAGCTCCTCTCTAGTTTCACCTCTGTCCTGATTGAAATAACAGAAATGCTGAATCATGACATGCTTTAATTGATGAGCATCATTTTCTTAATAAACAAGGCTGCGTTGTAAATATTGCGCTTCCAGCCACGCGATATATAGATCAGGGTTTTTGGGCTTTTTCTTTGATGTTTTTTTCTTTTCTTTTCCTCAGACTCTGTTGGGCCGGCCACAGCTCCCCGCGGTGAGGTGAAAACTGCAGGCAGGCGCACATCCGCCCCTCCTGCAGTCAACACCCAGGGCCACCAGCAGAGGGCGCTGTTGAGGGAGAAGAGCAAGGAGAACCAGCTGGACAGGAACGGATGCCAGCAGCAGGACAAAGACTCGGACAGGGGTGGCTTTGACGTTGGTAGGTGTCGTGCAGTACGAGTGGAGAGAATGAATTGTGATTACTGTGCACACGCGAGGCTTTAACTCTTGCCACCTAACGGTCCCCAGGGTCGGTAAAAGACAAACTGAAGGAGAAACCGAAACAGAAGGACTTCCTCCGCATTAAACTAAAGAAGAAGAAGAAGAAAAAGAAGTCCAAGTCCGGTAAGAACGGGTTCCCCGGCGTCGGGCCTCCTCTCATATCTGCTGCTCTGCATGTGCACCCACTGTGACTCTCCTGCAAAGCATTGAGCACTCCTCCATTCACTCCTCTTTGGTGTGCTGGCTGAGCCTTGAGTGTGTGGGAGAAGTGTTGCATCTGTCGCTGGCCTCTTGTCACTCAAACCGAACGCTCCAACTCGTTCCTTTAACGTCGGGGCTTCTCGCTTTTGCTCTCGTATATACGACGACGCGGCTGCGGATGAAAAGCCAGATTTAGTTGTGATATTGCCTAATCCACACACAAATCAAACACCGTTCTCTCTAGTCCTAGTTGGCATTCACATGTAGGTACAGTAGCTTTGGCAGATAATGCCAGTTAAAAATTAAAATGCCTGGAAGACGGGCCGCTATTGATTTTTGTCCCCGACTGTTCTCGAGTCTATTATTTGTCCATGTTTGTTTTGCCACAGTTTGTCGTCCCCCTCCCCCTCCCCCTCCCCCTGATGGCCGTTTGTTAAGCATTTCCAAAGTTGACATTTTGTTCTGCATCTGCTTCCCCTCCCCCTCCCCTCCCCTCCCCTTCCCTGTATTGACAGACTACACAGGTAGTGAGGAGAATATTGACATCTCAGTATTGGGTCTTCAGTCCAAATTGAATTTGCCACTCAAATTCCCCCCCTCACACAATCACAAGCCTGAGGCCTACGGCAGCAGGCCCGGATACAGCTGCTCACAGCAGATACATGTGGATGGTGGGTATCTGTGTGTGTGTGTGTGTGTGTGTGTGTGTGTGTGTGTGTGTGTGTGTACTGCACATGGCTTCCTCTCCCCTCGATTCCTCTATTCCCTCTGGATTCAGTCCATCATGTTGTTCTAGTCTGATGTGCCTGTTATGTGTCCAAATGTTACTCATAACAACACATCATGACCTGCAGAGTGAAACTAGCTGGTGCTGCAGATCAAATCAATACTTTTTAAACGCTTGCTTGATTGAATCCTGAGCTGTTCTTTGCTGCTACGGCTTGCTTCGTTAAAACACACACAATGCGACACGTTTTGAATCGGATAAAGAACATGCATTTAGCTAAATCGTGTCATTCTCGTAACAATGAAACAATATGCGTGTTTGTTCCTGTTACGGTAGATGAGGACAGCATCAGTGACTGGTCCACTGACAGCTGTGGGTGGAGCGACGATGACTTCGGGGTGGATTTGGACGTCACCACGCCTCCCCTGAGCGTGGACTCCGGGGCCGTGGACACAAGTGACCAAGAGATCGTGCGATGTATCTGTGAGGTGGAGGAAGAGAATGACTTCATGATCCAGGTGAGTCTATTTTTAAAGCATTGAAAGCTCTTTTTGTGTTAGTCTTAGGGTTGCATTTCTATAAAACTTGCGTGTCCTTCCCTCAGTGTGAAGATTGTTTGTGCTGGCAACACGGCACCTGCATGGGCCTGCTGGAAGACAATGTTCCAGACCGATACACCTGCCACATCTGTAGAGACCCACCAGGTGAGGGGGGGGGGGGCGACGACGACGACACATCACCACCTTTTAGCTTTAAAGTATACATAATTCAAATGTGTTGACATCAGATCATCTGTTTGGCTGGTCTGGTAGAGAGCACTGCAGGCTTCCTCCTCCTAACGAAGCATCATCTGCCATCTAGTGGACAATAAGAATAATGACAGTGTAGGAGAGCGAGCTGCTATTCATGACCGGAGCAACACATCGCCTATAAAACCGAGAAATGTTGACCGACTCAGCACTGGGCTTGTTCTTATTGCTGATTGGACTAATGTTCTCTGCCTTACATAAGAGTAGTTAATGTTAATGGGAATGATTTGGGTTGTGATATTAAAGATAAGCTCATAATGTTGAACTGAACATGATGTGATATAATCTCACCCAGCACAGACACACACACGTTTAACAGGGAGCCGTTGTTTGAACGGAGGAGACATTACTCTTCAATAGATTTTTTTTTTCAAGTTTAAATAAACTCTTAAAACTATTTTAGACTTGTATATTTAACTCTACTGCAGAGAGCTTCAAGGTTTGATCATTTCAAAGCTCAGCCAAGCCTCAGGATGACTATTCAAAACCTTTGATCCAAATGAAATTGCTCTTGATCGCTTTACTTACTAGTGCATTTTGCAATTCAGTCATAGCATTTGATAAACATTTGCAATGTGTTCGTTATTTCCAGGTCAGAGGCAGAGTCTGCGCTACTGGTACGACCGTGAGTGGTTGAGCAGCGGTCACATGTACGGCTTGTCCTTCCTGGATGAGAACTACTCTCACCAAAACGCCAAGAAGATCACCACCACCCACCAGCTGCTGGGAGACGTGCACCACGTGGTCGAGATTCTCAACGGGCTGCAGCTCAAGATGAGCATCCTACAGTGAGTACAGCAGGAAGACACTCACAGTACATGTGGATCATGACAGAAATGATTGTTTTCTCGCCCGGTTTCTATTAAACATTCATTATTTACTCGTTTTATTTTAATCTTTCCTTTTGGCTTTTCAGTAGCAATACCCACCCAGACCTGCAGCTGTGGCGGCAGCCCTGGAAGCACTTGGAGCGGTCGCGGACCGCCTCGGACTCGTGGCGCGGCAGTGACGCCGCTCCATCTCCCGCGACTCCCGACGAGGACATGAGCCGAGGGGAAATTCTAATGTCCAATGCTCTGGAGAAGCTGAGCAGGGCGGCCACAGCCGCCACCACCTCCTCGTCCGGCTCCTCCTTCCCCTTCCCGTCCTTCCAGGACTCGTACATTATCAGCGAACATTGCTACCAGAAGCCGAGGGCGTATTACCCGGCGGTGGAGCAGAGGCTGGTGGTGGAGACCCGACAGGGCTCTGAGCTGGAGGACAGCATGAGGAGCACGGAGGAGCTGTTGGAGCGGGAGCAGCGCTACGGAAGCCTGCTGGAGACAGACAAGCCCAAATCAACTGGCACCAATTACAAGGTTAGGACTTGTTCCACAAAGTGCAGTCTGTGTGGTCACTATAGACGAGTGAAATGAGCTCACACATTCTGTAGAATGTTACATTAGATGCAGGTAAGTGACAGTGACATTACAGCTGAGTCACTCCAGCGATTCAAGGTTTTGTCTGACCACCAATCTTTAAATCTTTTTGGTTGTTTTGTCCCTTGTGTGTTTGTATAAAGAGGTCTAAACCTGCTTGTTGTGAAAAATCTTGTCTTGACGATTTCCCCTGAACGCCTCCAGGCTTCGATGGGTGGCTCTTGGTCCCAGGCTGAGACGAGGGAGGAGGGAGGACGAGGTCCCGGAGAGGCTTCCGATAACAGCAGGCAGCATCAACAGAGGCAGATCAACCTGCTGGACCACATAGACTCGGTCCAGGATGAGGTCTCGCACCGGATGGACTTCATTGAGAGGGAGCTGGACGGTAAGACCTATGGAGGCGTTGACCTGGTCTCTTTAACAGGGCATGAAACTTTGAGCCTAGATGTAAATAAATGTTGAAGATGACGCCTAAAAGGCTTTAACAAGGTTCGTCATTCCTGACTAACACAGTGTTGAGAACTGGGTCAGGCACACATGTACAATTTAAGAAGCACTCAGAGTTGAGCCCTCAATAAAGACACATTTGCTTTTGATGATTCATGATATTATTCAACAGCTCAGAGCACATTGTCAGGCACTAGTGGTTGAGAGGATTGCATCAAAGCCAGCATAATGAAACACTCCCAATGCGGTGTGTCTTTAAGAACAGGATAGTGTTTGTGTGTCACCATGGGCTCTGCTAACCTCTGGTTCTTCTGCCCCCCCCTCAGTGCTGGAGAGCTGGCTGGACTACACCGGGGAGCTGGAGCCTCCTGAACCTTTGGCCCGTCTGCCTCAGCTCAAACAACGCATGAAGCGGCTGCTGACACAGCTGGGAAAGGTGCAGCAGATCGCCCTGTTCAGCTCCACATGAGGGCGCCAGAGAACAGCGTCAGTCAGTCAGTCAGTCGGTCGGGCGGTCGGTCAGTCGGTCGGTCCCCACACGGCATGCAGGAGCAGTGCAGCGGAGGAAAGCCCACTGGTCTCTGGCTGCAAAGATAACGACGATTAGTGCAAGGCTTGGATTGTTCCGCACATTCTCTGTGACCAGACTTAAGAAAAAAAAAGGTTCTGTGTGGTGTAATCCGATGCTGCAGCCAGCCAGTGTCATATATTAACGTTTTATATGAACATGTAATGGAAAGCCGGCATCATAAATCAGGACGAAACACAAAAAGTAACCTCGTAAACGCAGGAGAAACTCCTCCGGACCAGATTCCACTTCTATGGTTCCCATGCAACTCTAAACCTAATGAATGCCTTTTTGTCTGAGCTACTGCTTAATGTTGCCCTGTCTCTCTCTCGCTCTCTCTCTCTCTCTCTCTCTCTCTCTCTCTCTCTCTCAGTATTCTCTCTCAGTACACTCTCAGCGCTTTACACGCAGAAGCTTTATATTTTCAAATTGCAATTCAGTTCTTTGCAATAGTTTTCAAATGCTCACTGTTTGTTTTTTTTGCATCAACAATGTCCCAAAGTTCCATTTTGGTCACCCGCCACGTCATACTGCATTAAAACTCTTTGCTGCAGGTGTGGACAGACAGTAACTTGAAGACACTGAAACAAGCTGTCTCTACAAATAATTAGTTCTGCTTTTGATCTACTCAAGGAGTTTGGTTTTTTAACTACACTGTGAAGTTATTTTTGTCTGGAATCAAAGGCATCTTATTGTTTTCTGTTTTTAGAGACGTAACAAGTGTGATTTCTGTTCCGTCTGAAACGGTAATGCTTCTTCTTTTCTAACGGTCTTCTCACGGGTGTTACGGTTTTATAAGTTAATCTCTGTGTTTGTTAGTTACTGCATCCTTTACTTCAGTTTAGCATCGCTGACCCACGATTCACTGAAACCTGTAACGTGGACGTGTCTTTTCTTCAGCTAGCATCTTGTGCTTTGACAAATACTACTATGAAGACATGCAAAGTTTTCTTTTCCGTTTCGTCCGTTTATTTACAGTATTTGGCTTGTTTGTAAATATGTTATTCAAAGAAATGTGCTCTTCTTTATTGAAAACATCCTCCAAATCCATTTATTGTATGCTACTGTACTGTAAGTGTGTGGCTTAGAAGCAGGGAAATGTCAAAAACAATGCAAACAGATCTGTTGGTACATAAATAAACTATCATTCTTATTAATCACCACGGGCATATTCTTGGCGTTTTTCAAAAAGTTTGAAGATTTCCTCCTCGTCCTGTTTATCCCTCTGACAACACCACCAGTGCTGTTAACGGTTGCATCATTAACATGTTTGTTGTGCTCTTATACAATCGGATTGAAATTGAGGGCAGCGGGTAGTAGCCTCGAAGGGCCGCGCTCAAAACTATAGGAAACTCTGCTGATGTGCCACTGAGCAAGGCATTCGACCAACAGCTCTACAGTAAAGCTGCTCGTGACCAAAAACAGAGCCCTGGTTGCACTAGACTGCTGCAGTTTGGGTGAAATCTGTAAACGAGAACGACTTTTATGGAAGATTGCGTGCATACTTTGAAATGTGTTTTTTATTACGTAGCAGATTTGGGTTGGTTACATAATCAGATTGAAAATAGAAACTTGATGGGAATTCTAATTGTTAATGTCCAAAATTTGAGCCAGCATCATGTGGTGTTTCATCAGGACAAATATGTTCCTCACGAACATTGTTGTTGGACTATTACCAAAACATGGGACAAAGACAAATACCCTTAATTAAAAAAAAAAATGCTATTATCTCACCACCTCTTATCAAAAGTGAGCATTTACTCTCAGACATGTGCTGTCCGCCTTCTATTTTAATCCAAGACTGCTGAAATAATGTTGGTATATACATCATGAAACGAACTTTAAGGTCGCGAATGCAGTTTAAATGCATTTAATTTATCAGTAACGGTACAGGTAGTGCGAGCTCTCTTCATGTTGCTTCCCCCGAGTCTCGTCCTCGTCATTTTGGAGCGGAGTGAGACCTCCTCCTGCCTCTTATCTGTGGTGAGCACCGCCTCCTCTCATTGGCTCCTCCTGTCTCTGGTGTGCAACGCCTCCTCTCATTGGCTCATCCTGTCTGTGTTGTGCAACGCCTTCTCTCATTGGCTCCCCCTGTCTGTGGGCGTGCACCGCCTCCTCCCATTGGCTCCTCCGCGGTGTCTGCGACGCAGCGCGTAGTTCCGCCCCAGAGTCACATCGAAATACTAGTTGAGGCAGACGAGAGAGAGAGCGGCGTGTACTGTACACCTAAATATTAACATTTCCTTTAATACTCAACAATATACTCGGAGAGGAATTAGCCGGAAGCCAGCCGACACTCATTTTTACCGACAAGGTGAGTCTTAAATCCGTGTTTTCGCGGTAGTTTCTTCCCGTTTATCTGCAGATGTGCTCGATGCCACAGGAGATTATCTGCAGCTCAATTGAATGGAGTTCATTTCGCTGCTTCTCTCAACACTAAATGCGACATGACGACTGTTTTCACACCGTATCTTCATTGTTGTCGATGCGGTATGTTTTGGTATTAGTTTGTTGCTTTCTGTTAGATTGTCTACGTGCTAAATAATAACTTAATATAATGAAACGAGGCCTGTCACGATGCGTTATACATCGTGAAATTACCGAGCTAAAAACAGCTGAAGAAATGTTGTCGAATAGCTTAAAGCTTGATGAATTTTAACACAGTGATACAGTTCAAACTCAGGAATAACGTCAGGTATTATCCTAATATACTGATAAGTTACCAGTTTTAGGTTTCTAGGTTATAAACTCATTGTTATGTGTAATCAAATACAAGCTTTACAACCAGGTTTATTAGAGGAATGTTAATATTGTTTTTAGTTTGAACAGGAACTCTTGAACGCTACTTAAAAAGGCCCAAACACTGTGTGTTGAATGTGTCTTGTCTCTCATGGTGTCACTGTTCTGTAGATTAATCTGCACATTTTTCCAAAACACTTGTCTGAGTCGACACATGTCAGATCCATCTTTATCCACCAGATCAGTCATGATGATGATGTAGCTGCAGGTGTGACACCATTCAGACACCAAGTGACATGTGACAATGTCAGTGGTTACCATGCCAAGGTCACCCAGGTGGGAAGTGTAAAAGAGAGAGAGAGGGCTTCAGGTGTTTCCTCAAATCCCTAAAATAACCACATCTGGGGATGTATTTTAAAAAAGGACATGTTCTACAGTTTCCCCAGTAAAACTAGTAAAGTACTGAAGACAGTAAAGTAATCATAGTTATAGGAAAAGTATTAAATACCTTTTTAAGTTTGCATTAAGTACCACAGGCACAGAATACACAATCTGTGTATTACAGCCTTAATTCTGGCATCTAACAGTTTCTTTTATTATGTATTGTTTCATGGTGTCAATTCAGGTGTTCTATCTCCCACAATGCCCCCCAGCAGTGTCACATGATCAGTAAGGCTTGAGTGGTGCTTACACGACAAGCAACTGCCCAGCGCGTTTGTTGTCTTTGACAACATTGTTGTAAAAGACGGTTGCGAAGCCTTGAAAAACAGAATAAGTACGAACAGAAAGCTTCTGTCTTTTGTTTCGTTCGCAGGAGAACGAGCAGGCGGTGGGTACAGTTTGAGGTTTATTGCCGTATCGTTAGAAGCAATCCACTCCTAGTCGATTATTAGGCCGAGTGAAAACGTACTGCCTAACTAAAGGGAGTGTTAAAAGTTGTTAATTAAGCCACACACAGGACACGTGTTGGCCTCCAACGACATTTGAGTAATTTGGAATGGATTCATGGGATTTAAGTCCTCAGAGACATTAAAACAAACTTGCCTGAGCATAATGCAACAGTACTTCATATTGCATTAATTCTGTAAGTGATCTAAAGTATCACCGTCAAGAAACGACACTATTAAGGTGCCTTTCGGGCTTGTTTTGCTACTTACACGTGCATTATTTCGGGGATTACAGAGCACAGGACAAGCGAGAAGTGCTGTTGTGTTAGAAGAGGATTTGTTGCAGGGATGAATGTCAGGATGTGAGGGAATAACGCTCACTAGAGAGAGACGGAGACACTGTGCTGACAGTCAGTCTGCCTGGTGTTCACTCTCACCTCAGCATTACTGAGTCTACAGCAGAGCAAAACACAACCTGCGCCACAGACACGGACATTTACCGGGACTTCTTGTCACAGTTGGAAATAAACCCCAGGTTTTTATGAGGGCGCTGCTGTTGTGTGTTTTTGTAACCGGACTGCATCTGTAATTTAAGCTGCACCGGGCCCGAGAGTTTCAGCACAGAAACAGCTGATGCAAACTATTCCAGGTGAGCTACTTCTATTTCCCTTGACCCCAGCTGAACTCGCTCCGTCGGTCTTTACTCTGGGATGAAATTGAGGATGAATATACTTGTAGAAAATAAGGAAATGACAAAAAACACGAGAGCCGGTCGCGAGCGGGCTTTGTGTGCAGCGGTGGCGGGGTCCACGCATTTATCAGACACCCTCATCTGCTGAAGGGACGGCTCTTGTCTGTCTCCATTTTCTTCATCAACATCGGCAATAAGATCAGCAGGTGGTGATGAGGAGAGGCAGAGAGAGCACAGGTGGCGAGCTTGTTGACGCCCCGGACCGTCCTTCAGTGCCGCCGTTCCTTTAGGATCACTTTGTGTGTGACGGTCCTGCTCTCCACTGAGACGTTTGTCACAGATACAAATAAGCGAGCGCACACTGAGCTCTCTCGAGCAGAGCTCTTTACGCCGTCTTATTATAGATCATTTCATACTTGGCCGGCTTTAATGGTTTGGGGATCACCCGGGAAAGTTAAATGCTTTAGTGGTGGTTTATCGTGACCGAGCAAACGGCAGAGACGGTGCCCTGGTGGTTTGAAGCCCCCCCCCCCCCCTGTTTTTCTACTCTGAAGCTTTTTCAAAATTCAGGCCGAGACGAAACCCAGAAGCCCCGAATCATCAAACGCTCACATTTCACTTATAGAGATCGCGTCCATGGTGAGAGCAGCTCAGCCCCGAGTCGTGACTTGTATATGTGATGTGTACGGGGTGTTGATGCATACGAGGGAGATAAATTATTGGTTATGCCTTTTTATGACTCATTTGATGCGTTATCGCTGCACTGAATGTTAATGAGAGCCCAGCGGTAAAGCATTGGTTGTTGTGATGAGGAGAGAATAGCTTTATGTAAATGATGGTGGAAAAGGTCATTTGATTTCAGAGGCAACCACCAGCGGAGTCTAGGACTGTGTGTGTGTGTGTGTGTGTGTGTGTGGGGGGGGTGTGGGGGGGCGGGGGGGTTGCCAAGGACACCGCCAACCTCCACGTCGAGCATTCGTAAGATAAGTGGGATGCCAGAGAAGCCACCTCTGTGGGAGATCGAGTTGTCAGTAATCGGTCATTGAGACGGCACAGCTGACCACACGGATAACTCTGTTAGCAGAGGCCGTGTTCCTGTGAGGCAACAGGCCTCTCGGCACTGATTCACACACTGAAAACAAGCCGAGACGTGTTTCTATTCAAAGCCGAGAGGTCTTCACTCGGGCTCTCATGTCTCCGTGGTGCGTTAATATTTTATGGAAGCGTTTCTTAAGTTTCTACCCCAGCTTGTTGAACGGGATTCTGTAGGTGTGTGTGAGAGATTGTTTGTGTGCGTGTGTGTGTGAGCTAGTGGCCGGGTTACACAGATGGCCTCTCTGCTGCCTCCACTGTTGCCCATCGGCCAGCCTGACCGCGGTCGACAGATCCTGGTGAGAGCCTCCAGCAGGACTCCGCTACTCTGGAAACTGCCCACTCACATTAGCCAGCTGGGACCCCAGGACACACACACACACTCAGACACAACCACAGACCCCAGGACACACACACACACTCGGGCCCAAGGACACACACACACACACACACACTCAGGCCCAAGGACACACACACACACACACACTCAGACACAACCACAGACCCCAGGACACACACACACACTCAGGCCCAAGGACACACACACACACACACTCTCAGGCCCAAGGACACACACACACACACACACACACGCAGCCCCCTTCTCGCACTTTTATCTGCCTCTTCGCTGTCTGCACAGCTAAGCCAGGCAGAGGAAATCCCCACAGACTGAGCGGCAGCTAGCGCAGCGGAGTAGGGGCAGGTACTCTGTTAGCAGCCCTGAGTGCAGGTCCGGCAGAAGCAGCCATTCAGT